CTTTGTTTTTTTGCTTAGGATTGTCTTGGCTATACAGGCTCCTTTTTGGTTCCATATGAAATTTAAAGTAGTGTTTTCTAATTCTGTGAAGAAAGTCAATGGTAGCTTGATGGGGATAGTATTGAATCTATAAATTACTTTGGGCAGTATAGCCATTTTCACGCTATTGATTCTTCCTATCCATGAGCATGGAATGTTTTTCCATTTGCTTGTGTCCTCTGTTATTTCCTTGAGTAGTAGTTCTCCTTGAAGAGGTCCTTCACCTCCCTTGTAAGTTGGATTCTTAGGTATTTTACTCTCTTTGTAGTAATTGTGAACGGGAGTTCACTCATGATTTGGCTCTCTGTTTGTCTGTTATTGGTGTGTAAGAGTGCTTGTGATTTTTGCACATTGATTTCGTATCCTGAGACTTTGCTGAAGTTGCTTATCAACTTATGGAGATTTTGAGCCGAGATGATGGGGTTTTCTAAATATACAATCATGTCATCTGCAAACAGAGACAATTTGACTTCCTCTTTCTCTATTTGAGTACCCTTTATTTCTTCCTCTTGCCTGTTTGCCCTGGCCAGAACTTCTAATACTATGTTGAATAGGAGTGGTGAGAGAGGGCATCCTTATCTTGTACCGGTTTTCAAAAGGAATGCTTCCAGCTTTTGCCCATTCAGTATGATACTGACTGTGGGTGTGTCATAAATAGGCTCTTTTTATTTTGAGATACATTCCATCAATACCGAGTTTATAGAGAGTTTTTAGCATGAAGGGGTGTTGAATTTTATCAAAGGCCTTTTCTGCATCTATTGAGATAATCGTGTGGTTTTTGTCACTGTTTATGTGATGGATTATGTTTATTGGTTTGCATATGTTGAATCAGCCTTGCATCCCATGGATGAAGCTGACTTGATCGTGGTGGATAAGCTCTTTGATGTGCTGCTGGATTTGGTTTGTCAGTGTTTTATTGAGGATTTTTGCATCAATGTTCATCAGGGATATTGCTCTGAAATTTTCTTTTTTTGTTGTGTCTCTGGCAGGTTTTGGTATCAGGATGATGCTGGCCTCATAAAATGAGTCAGGGAGGAGTTCCTCCTTTTCTATTGTTTGGAATGGTTTCAGAAGGAATGATACCAGCTTCTCTTTGTACCTCTAGTAGAATTTGGCTGTGGATTCATCTGGTCCTGGGCTTTTTTTGGTTGGTAGGCTATTAATTACTGCCTCAATTTCAGAACTTGCTATTGCTCTATTCAGGGATTTGACTTCTTCCTGGTTTAGTGTTGGGAGGGTGTATGTGTCCAGGAATTTATTCATTTCTTCTAGATTTTCTAGTTTATTTGCGTAGAGGTGTTTATATTATTCTCTGACAGTAGTTTGTATTTCTGTGGGATCAGTGGTGATATCCCCTTTATCATTTTTTATTGTGTCTGTTTGATTCTTCTCTCTTCTTTATTAGTCTGGCTAGCAGTCTATCTATTTTGTTAATCTTTTTAAAAGGAACCCAGCTCCTGGATTCATTGATTTTTTGAAGGGTTTTTCATGTCTCTATCCCCTTCAGTTCTGCTCTGATCTTAGTTATTTCTTGTCTTCTGCTAGCTTTTGAATTTGTTTGCTCTTGCTTCTCTAGTTCTTTTAATTGTGATGTCAGGGTGTTGATTTTAGATCTTTCGCAGTTTCTCCTGTGGGCATTTAGGCTATAAATTTCTCTCTAAACACTGCGTTAGCTGTGTCCTAGAGATTCTGGCACATTCTATCTTTGTTCTCATTGATTTCAAATAACTTATTCATTTCTGCCTTAATTTCCTTATTTACCCAGTAGTCATTCAGGAGCAGGTTGTTCAGTTTCCATGTAGTTGTGGGGTTTTGAGTGAATTTCTTAATCCTGAGTTCTAATTTGATTGCATTGTGGTCTGAGAGACTGTTTGTTATGATTTCTGTTCTTCCGCATTTGCTGAGGAGTGTTTTACTTCCAATTATGTGGTCAATTTTAGAATAAGTGCAATGCAGTGCTGAGAAGAATGTATATTCTGTTGATTTGGGATGGAAAGTTCTGTAGATGTCTATTAGGTCTGCTTGGTTCAGAGCTGAGTTCAAGTCCTGAATATCCTTGTTAATTTTCTGTCTTATTGATCTGTTTAATACTGACAGTGGGATGTTAAAGTCTCCTACTATTATTGTGTGGGAGTCTAAGTCCCTTTGTAGGTCTCTAAGAACCTGCTTTATAAATCTGGGTGCTCCTGTATTGGGTGTATATATATTTGGGATAGTTAGCTCTTCTTATTGCGTTGATCCCTTTACCATTATGTAATGCCCATCTTTGTCTTTTTTGATCTTTGTGGTTTAAAGTCTGCTTTATCAGAGACTAGGATTGCAACCCCTAATTTTTTTTGCTTTCCATTTGCTTGGTAAATCTTCCTCCACCCTTTAATTTTGAGCCTATGTGTGTCTTTGCACATGAGATGGGTCTCCTGAATATAGTACACCAATGGGTCTTTATCCAATTTGCCAGTCTGTATCTTTTAATTAAGGCATTTAACCCATATTGACTCTTTATCCAATTTACCAGTCTGTGTCTTTTAATTGGGGCATTGAGCCCTTATTATTTAAGGTTAATATTGTTATGTGTGAATTTGATCCTGTCATTATGATGCTAGCTGGTTATTTTGCCTGTTAGTTTATGCAGTTTCTTCATAGTGTTGATGGTCTTTACAATTTGGTATGTTTTTGCAGTGGCTGGTACCAGTTTTTTTTTTCCCCCCCCCATATTTAGTGCTTCCTTCAGGAGCTCTTGTAAGACAGGCCTGGTGGTGACAAAATCTCTCAGCATTTGCTTGTCTGTAAAGGATTTTATTTCTCCTTTGCTTATGAAGCTTAGTTTGGCTGGATATGAAATTCTGGATTGAAAATTCTTTTCTTTAAACATGTCGAATATTGGCCCCCACTCTCTTCTGGCTTGTAGGGTTTCTGCAGAGAGATCCCCTGTTAGTCTGATGGGCTTCCTTTTGTAGGTAACCCGACCTTTCTCTCTGGCTGCCCTTAACATTTTTTCTTTCATTTCAACCTTGGTGAATCTGATGATTATGTGTCTTGGGGTTGCTCCTCTTGAGGAGCATCTTTGTGGTGTTCTCTGTATTTCCTGAATTTGAATGTTGACCTGTCTTGCTAGGTTGGGGAAGTTCTCCTGGATAATATCCTGAAGAGTGTTTCCCAACTTGGTTCCATTCTCCCCATCACTTTCAGGTACACCAATCAATCAGGTTTGTTCTTTTCACATAGTCCCATATTTTTTGAAGGCTTTGTTTGTTCCTTTTCATTCTTTTTTCTCTAATCTTGTCTTCACGTTTTATTTCATTAAGATGATTTTCAATCTCTGATATCCTTTTTTCCGCTTGATCAATTCGGCTATTGATACTTGTGTATGCTTCATGAAGTTCTCGTGCTGTGTTTTTCAGCTCCATCAGGTCATTATGTTCTTCTCTAAACTGGTTATTCTAGTTAGCCTTTCCTCTAACCTTTCTTCAAGGTTCCTAGCTTCCCTTGCTCTGGGTTAGAACATGCTCCTTTAGCTTGGAATAGTTTGTTATTATCCACCTTCTCAAGCCTACTTCTGTCAGTCTGTCAAACTCCTTCTCCCTCCAGTTTTGTTTCCTTGCTGGAGAGGAGTTGTGATCCTTTGGAGGAGAAGAGACATTCTGGTTTTTGGAATTTTCAGACTTTTGTGCTGGTTTTTCTTCATCTTCATGGATTTATCTACCTTTGGTCTTTAATGTTGGTGACCTTCGGATAGGGTTTTTTGTGTGGACGTCCTTTTTGTTGATGTTGATGCTATTCCTTTCTGTTTGTTAGTTTTCCTTTTAACAGTCAGGCCCCTCTGCTACATGTCTGCAGAAGTGTGCTGGAGGTCCACTCCAGACCCTGTTTGCCTGGGTATCACCAGTGGAGGCTACAGAACAGCAAAGATTGCTGCCTGTTCCTTCCTCTGGAAGCTTTGTCCCAGAGGGGCACCTGCCAAATGCCAGCTGGATCTCTCCTGCATGAGGTGTCTATTGACCCCTGCTGGGAGGTGTCTCCCAGTCAGGAGGTACAGCGGTAAGGGACCCACTAGAGGAGGCAGTCTGTCCCTTAGCAGAGCTCGAGCACTGTGCTGGGAGATCTGCTGCTCTCTTCAGAGCTGGCAGGCAGGAACATTTAAGTCTGCTGAAGCTGTGCCCACAGCCACCTGTTCCCCCAGATGTTCTGTCCTAGGGAGATGGGAGTTTTATCTATAAGCCCCTGACTGGGACTGCTGCCTTTCTTTCAGAGATGCCCTGCCAGGACAGGAGGAATCTAGACAGGAAGTCTGACTACAGCAGCTTTGCTGAGCTGTGGTGGGCTCCGCCCAGTTTGAACTTCCCCTTTGTTTACACTGTGAGGAGAAAACTGCCCACTCAAGTCTCAATAATGGCAGATGACCCTCCCCTCACCAAGCTCAAGCATTGCAGGTCAACTTCAGACTGCTGTACTGGCAGTGAGAATATCAAACCAGTGGATCTTAGCTTGCTGGCGTCCATGGGTGTGGGATCCACTGAGCTAGACCACTTAGCTCTGGCTTCATCCCCCTTTCCAGGGGAGTGAATGGTAATGTGTCGCTGGCATTCTGGGCACCACTGGGGTATGGAAAAAGAAAACTCCTGCATCTAGCTCAGTGTCTGCCTAAATAGCCACCCAGTTTTTTCTTGCTTGAAACCCAGGGCCCTGGTGGCATAGGCATCCAAGGGAATCTCCTGGTCTGCAGGTTTTGAAGACCATGGGAAAAGCATAGTATCTGGGCCAGAGTGCACCGTTCCTCACGGCATAGTCCCTCATGGCTTTCCCTTGGCTAGAGGAGGGAGTTACCTGACCCCTTGTGCTTCCCAGGTGCAGTGACATCTCACCCTGCTTCAGCTCACCCTCTGTGGGCTGCACCCACTGTGTAACCAGTCCCAATGAGATGAGCCAAGTACCTCAGCTGGAAATGCAGAAATCACCTGCCTTCTGTGTTGATCTTGCTGGGAGCTGCAGACTGGAGCTGTTCCTACTCAGCCATCTTGCCCAGGTTCCCCCCATTCTGCCAATTTTAAGGTGAGCTGATTAGCAACTGTAATTTTACCTGCAATCTTAATTTTCCTTTGCCATGTAACCTATTTGTAATATTTGAAGTGGGAAAATCACTTCAATTTTTTTTTTTTTTTTTGAGATGGAATCTTGCTCTGTCACCCAGGCTGGAGTGCAATGGCACAATCTCGGCTCATTGCAAGCTCTGCCTCCCGGGTTCACGCCATTCTCCTGCCTCAGCCTCCCGAGTACCTGGGACTACAGGTGCCTGCCACCACGCCCAGCTAATTTTTGTATTTTTAGTAGAGACGGAGTTTCACCATGTTAGCCAGAATGGTCTCGATCTCCTGACCTCGTGATCTGCCCGCCTTGGCCTCGCAAAGTGCTGGGATTACAGGCGTGAACCACTGCACCCAGCCCAAATGTTTTAAGAATTATGAAAATAATACTTGTTCATGGTAAAATATTCAGAACAGTGCAGAACTATATGAAGTATCTATTTAAATGCTCATCTTTACTCACTCTTGAAGATGAACCACTCTTCATAATTTCTAAGTATTTTTCTAGAATTTTCTATGCATTCACAAGCATATATATGTCCTTTTCTCTGGTTCTTTGCCTTTTCCTTTCTGTTTTTCTCTGTTTCTCTCTCCCTTTTTTCTTGCTAGCCAAGCAACCATCCATCAGCAGGCATAATTTTTACTCTCTGCCATGGGTATAAGAAACATCATATTTCTTTATTTTTCTAAATCAGGTTAAATTTCACTCCAACCCTCCACTTTCCAGGGTGGTGAGAACTTCAGTATCTACCATAATTTAACTTCAGTGCCAACCATAAACTCTGGAGTTTCTCTCATCCTTCTTAAGGCTGCCAAAAACATGGGGGTGGGGGGGCTTAGTGATGTTGTGGAAACAGGATTGAATGTCTCCTTTTCTTTCCACATAGTCACACATTTTAAACTAGTATCCCTAGAATGGTCCTAATGAAAACAATGTAAATAAACAAACCCACATAGAGACGAAAGACTGCAGGAGATGCAACAAACTGTCAAATGGCCCTTTCCTAGAGGAGGTATTATGGCGATTTTAACTTTCTCCTTGATACTACTCTCTCTGTTCTACAGGTAACAGGTGTCACTTTGGAATCAGCACAATAAAGTTCAGGAATAAGTATTTTATGTGGCTTCTCCACCTGCCTTTCCTTTTGGCTGAGTGTTTGCCCAGCTTCCCAGGGGCAAGCCCTCCTCGGGCAGGGGCACAGGTTTAGCAATGCTGGGAAATCCTCAGGATGTGAACCAGAGGCAGCTCCTACTGCGTCGTCACTGCCTTCCTAGGTTTAAGGAGGTGTCTGGGTGGGGCAGGGAATTAGAGATCCTGGAAGGAAGCCTTTATGGATACCTCATAGCTTTTTTTATTGGGGTTCACAGCTGTTGTCCTTTTATTCAAACAGGGAACACTCACCCTCCCTGGCTTCCAGGCAGCTGGGCTGGCTGGAATTTGCCCTCTTGCCCCGGCTTCCCCAGTGACTTATGGGAGGCAGAGGCCCAATCAAGGTGGGTGACCTGTAATTTCCCTCCTAGCAGCCAGGCTCTGAGTGGGTGGGCCAACCAGGCATGTGGGCTGGTGGGTCTTCTCCCAGGGGCAGCCTGAGGGTGGGAGCAGCTCAGAGAACGCAGACATTGAGCACATCTGGGGATTTCCTTTTGCAGGTTGTGTCCAGGCACCTAAGGAGTGGGGCAGGGAAGGCCGCTGCTCTGGTATAACCAAGCCTTATGGCATTCCTCTATCTAGCTGTTCATCGACAAATGCTTAATGAATACCTTCTCTGGGCCAGAAAGCAGGCTGGAGTCTGTGGATATGGCGAAAAGCAAGAGTAGACCCACTTCCTGGTACAGTCTGGGGTGGACACCATCAGAGGGATGCTGCTATTTGTTTCCTTTTGCCTGTCTTGCTTTTTTTTTTTTTTTTTTGGCTGTGTCTCCCAAGCCTAGAATATAGTAGGAGCTCAATAAAAATGTGTGAAAAGAATAAAAAATGTGTTTCCTGCTTGTTGGAGTAATCAGTCCATCCCTAAAGAAATCCAAAAATCAAATGAAATGAAAGGATTTTATTTCTGATTCTCATAGATCATCATCATCATCATCATCATCATCTCATCTTCATTGTCATCTCCATCATCATCATGGCCATGGGTGAGGCTCTTTTTTCCTTCATGCTTCCCTGTCATGCTCACATTTCATCATCACTAAGATGCCTGGGAGGAAGCCAGCCTCACCCATCACTTTAGCATGCATGTGGTCTGGTTGCCTGTGTTCAAATCCCGGCTCCTACACTGAGCAGCACTGTGAGCTTGCTTGGGCAAGTCATTTTGTTTCTCTGAGCCCCGATGTCCTCTGTAAAATGAGGCTGTTAAGAGAGATGCCCCATCAGGTTGTTGTGAGCATGAAATGAGAAGATGCAGATCCAGTGTGCAGCAGGGAACCTGGCTCAGAGGAGGCTACTTCTGCCCTTTCAGCCACTCTCTTTCCCTGTGCTCCCCTTGACTTCACTGCCCTCCTTCTTTGCAAGAGGTCCTGACACTGTGGGAGGGCTTGCTGCCTCAGGGGTGGGGCCCACATCTCTAGGGCTGTGAACCCTAGAGATGGTGCTGGAACCAGGACTCAGACAGGGAGCAGCAAAGGGAACACTGTGACTGATGCTGTTCTCCAAATGCCTCCTTCCTCATCCAGATCCAAGGAGGCCCAGCGTGGGGCTGGCTGGTGACCAGACCAGGGACAGGGTGATGTCAAGGACCAGTCTTACCACACCCTCCCAATGTCATTGAGAGTAAAACCCAGGTCAGAAATCACCCCTTCAGACCCTTTCAGTGTGAGCAAGAAACCATGCCCCTCCTCTCCCCCCGGACTTTGTGGGTACCCTGAGGCTTGCTCTTAACTCACTGATTGTCCTCTGTCTCCACCGGTGGTGGGCTGATAAATGTTTGTCAATGAACTCTCCAGAAAAAAAAATGTATACGTGTCTGTACATACATAAATGGGTTATGTTTTACTGGTATTGAGGTTGTGTAGCAAATACACATCTTAAAATTTAAATAATAGTAAGATATACAATACCCATTGTAAATTCCACACAGACAATTGGCCTACAGTATACTTTTACTCATTTTTGCCAGCTTCTTGAATTAGCCGATCTGTAGTTGCAATTTAACAATGATTTGACAAAAGTAGACTGTGAATATATGGTTGCTTAGTTTCCCATTTAGTGAAGAGGTCTCTCAGTTCATCAAATGAATGAGTGTAGTTCTGTCATGAACATTGGTTGATGTTTTCATTTATATTAATGAATAAGATGAAGGTGAAACAATGAAGACACAGTCAAAACTCCACTCCATCACAGTGACATGAATGACTTCTTTGCTGAATCAGGTATCAGTTTTTGAATAGTGAAAGAATATTTCCTTTTTTTTCCATTCACAAGGTAATGGCCACAGACAGGACATACCTTAATGTTTACTCTGCATTATTAACATTTTCTCCATCCCTTTCTTAAGCCTAGGGTTTAGACAATCAACAAAACAAAAAATCAAGCTCCAATTTATAGTGTTTTCAATTTCCATGATGTAAATGCACATGCTATGACTAATTTCAAGCTACTATTGTGAAATCACTAATGTGTAGCTGGAAAGACATGCACAGTAGCACACCACTATGTGATATTTCTACCATACAGATACACTATATGTAAGTAACTTCAAGAGCATAGACAATAGTAAGAGGTAGAAAAATAATTGGGAACTGATGAGTTTTGAGTATTTCTTTGTTTTTTTTTTTTTCTTGAGACCAGGTCTCACTCTGGCATCCAGGCTGGAGTGCAGTGGTACAATCACAGCTTGACTTCCCAGGCACAAGAGATCCTCCCACCTCAGCTGGAACAACAGGCATGCACCACCACACCCAGAAAAATTAAAAAAAATTTTTTTTAGAGGTGGGGTCTCCATATGTTGCTCAGACTGGTCTCGAACTCCTGAGCTCAAGCGATCCTCCCACACTGGCCTCCCAAAGTGCTGTGATTACAAGTATGAGCCACGGTACCTGGCCAACCCTTTTTAAAAATAAAATGTGTTTACTTGTAAATTAAAATAATTTAGCTTTTAATAATGACTGTTTAGCCACTGAATCACAAGGTTTCCAGAAATTTAACAATTGGCTCTTGCAAGCTGGTATGAACTGGCTCCAGCATACCACCGAGGCTCTCCCCAGTCTGACTGATTCCTCCAGCTGGGCAGGTCTTTATCTTTCTCTGGTCACATGCTTAGTGCATTGTCTGCCACTCTGGTAGCCTTCCATAAATACATGCTAATGAAAGAATGACTTGCATTATTTGTGTGCCATCTGTCCTAGTCTGTAAGCTCTTAGAAAGAAGGACCAGGTTATAGTCATATTTAAATTCTCAGGACACCCAGGGCTTGGCACATAGTAGGTATTCAATAAATTGATGAATGACCGAGTTTACACCCTAGGGAGTATCTTAAATGCTTTGTCTGGGAGCAGAAATGAACTGCAAGTGCCACAAGTAGAATGTTACAAAGGGTGGGACATGATGAATCAAAGGGTGGGCAAGTAATGTATCTCTGGTTGCTATTTCTGTCCCACTCTTCCCTGGGATCAGCTCATATCACTGCCTGCATTAGTTATCTATTGCTGCCTAACAAATCACCACACTCTTAATAGTTTAAAACAACACATATTTGGCCTGGTGCGGTGGCTTATGCCTGTAATCCCAGCACTTTGGGGGGGCCGAGGTGGGTGGATCACGAGGTCAGGAGATCGAGACCATCCTGGCTAACACGGTGAAACCCCATCTCTACTAAAAACACACACAAAAAAATTAGCCGGGTGTGGTGGTGGGCACCTGTAGTCTCAGCTACTTGGGAGGCTGAGCCAGGAGAAAGGTGTGAACCCAGAAGGTGGAGCTTGCAGTGAACAGAGATCATGCCACTGCACTCCAGCCTCGGTGACAGAGCGAGACTCCATCTCAAACAAAGAAACAAAAACAACAACACATACTTATTCTCTCACAGCCTCTGTGAGCCAGGAGTCCAGGTCCATCTTCACTAGACTTTTTGCTTGGTGCCTCACAAGGCTGTGATCAAGGCATTCATTTGGTAGCATTCTTATCTGGAGACTCGACTGGGGACTAATTCACTTTCAAGTTTATTTGTTTTGTGGTGTGACTGAGACTGTCATGCATTCCAGTGGTTGTGTGACTGAGGCCCTCAGATGTCTGCTGGCTGTTGGCTGGAGGCTGTCCCCAGGTCCTGGAGGCTGTGACCCTAGTTCCTTGCCATGGAGACTTCCTTAGCATGGCTGCTTACTTCATCAGGCCAGCAAAGACAATCTCTTTCCCTTCAGGGAGGGCATAGTCTCTCTTCTAAGATTCACTAGATTCACTAGATTAAGTAGATTAAGTAATTATGATTCACTAGGTTAAGTCAGGCCCACTGAGGATAATCTCTCTGTTGAGGAACTCCACATAAACTGATATGGGCCATTAAATTAGCAAAATCTCTTCATGTTTGCTATATTCTATTGCTTAGAAGCAAGTCACAGTTTCCACCCACACTCAGGGGAAGGGATGATACTGGATGTGAACACCAAGTGGCAGAGATCCCTGGAGGTCACCTGAGGGTCTTCTGGTTACACTGCTTTGTATCCCTGTCCCCACCCTGCCACAGAGTATATGTAGCTTTAGCTCTTGAGTAGAGTCAGCCAGTGACCGTGGCGTTCCCTCACTTCAGGACATTTTGCATTCCCCTTGTTGAGTGGTTGATCTCTATAATTTTGGTATTTATCTAATGCTGATGTTGGATGTGTGGGAGGAGCCAAGTGGTTCTCTTAATGCCAAGATGTCTGGTAAATCCAAGTTCTTTTGTACTTATGGAGCAGGTGCTGAGTGTGCTAAGACATCAAGAGGCCTCAGAGAAAACGAAGAAATCTCCAAAACAAACACCCCAGGCTTAGAAAAAATTAAGGTCAGAGTAGCAGGTAGATCTTCCCTGGGATCAGCTCATATCACTGCCTGCATTAGTTATCTATTGCTGCCTAACAAACCACCACACTCTTAATAGTTTAAAACAACACATATTTGGCCTGGTGCAGATCGTTATTGACTGATGCTGTTCTCCAAATGCCTCCTTCCTCATCCAGATCCAAGGAGGCCCAGCGTGGGGCTGGCTGGTGACCAGACCAGGGACAGGGTGAT